CGTATATTCCTCTCTCAATAACACAAACACACACACACACAAGAGAGAGAGAGAGAGAGAGAGAGAGAGAGAGAGAGAGAGAGAGAGAGAGAGAGAGAGAGAGAGAGAGAGAGAGAAAAAAAAAAAAAGAGGCAAACAAAGGAGACATGTTCGGTATGATGTGTGTTTTGTAAATTCACATGATTTTATAGAACACGTGTTATAGGTGTGTTGTGTATTGCTATGCCAATTGGGGTGAATGAACACCAAAGACTCTCATGGAATGTCTTAATTGTTGTGTTTTTTTTTTTTTGTTAAGAGGACAAAGGAGATTCATGGTCATGTCTAAAGTGCCTCATTATGAACGGAATGTAATAGGTGCAATGGTAAGTGTATGGTGGATGGCTACTCTACAGAAACAAAATATTGATAATTATGATCTTTGCATTAGTTAAAGGGTTTTCACAGCATAACCATATTTAGACGCCGACTCCTTCTGTGATATAACGACAAAGACATATGTGAAACACACAAATACACACACACACACACACACACACACACACACACACACACACACACACAGGTACATTGATTGTGACGTTGAGAGTTCCAACTATTTTTAAATGATATTTTTTTTTTTCACTACGATATCTGAATGTTGCTCAAACATTGCAATGAGTTAGGCAACAAATTTCCCAACGTTTGCACATATCAGGGATACAGTATAACCATAGATGACTTTACTCATCATCGAACGTTGGAACAACGTTGAAAAATGTTTGTCAAGTTGATTTGGAAGCCCGCGGCGAAGTCGTCAACGTTTCTTGTGTTGAAGTAAGGTTTTACACATGTGTGTTTATCGGTCAAGGTGAAAAATTGGTGCGTGTTATAAAATTGTTGTTACTCGATATGGTCAACTATTTTTTAACGTAACGGTGTATAAAAACATAACTGTTGAAAACGGGATTTTTTTTCGTCGACCGCATTGTTATCTTAGTGGTGGTCCCTTCGTTGGTAATGCAACGATAGATTTTCTTCTGATAGGCATTCAATCAGGGCGCCCAGACGACCCAACTCGTATCCCCCGCCATTCCACCAGAGTAATTTCCTTAGGGCGTGCATAACCTCTTAAGCTCTTACTCGGCTGGTAGACGTGGGCCCGCAACCAGGCTGTGCTGGCTTGCAGCCATCCAATAGGGGTTGCGCCCTAGGGGTGCTAGCCTTTACCGTCTAGCTTGGTATTCCTCAATATGCCTTAGGATTAGCACAAGTGTCTAGATGGTGCGTCGCAAAACAGACCACAGACCCACTGCGGGACTACGGAGGGGTCTGTCTCACTTTAAAGGCGTCCACCAGCTCCTTATGGGATACGTAGGAAGTGTGGCCTCCTTTTCACAATCACAACCAGATTCACTGCTAGGCTCACACCAGGCCGTGGCCTACTTGACTTGATCAGAGGCAGCAGACCACACATCCCACGACATTTTTATGCACTGACTTGCGACCTTCTCGGTTCCACCAATGGTTCCAACTCGTAACCCTGGTCCCTCTCGTCACACTTTATCACTAAAACGTTGCTTACCATGTCATTGAATCTATTACCCACTTTTCACATGAAGGGGGTCTCTCTTAATAAGTCTCCCAGTCATCCCTCCCTTCTCATAGGATGGACTAGCACGCGACCTCGGTTGTATAGCCGTCAATAATCAGCATTTCCATCCTCCATAATTTGAAGGGGGTCTCCACCATAGAACAACTCACTGAGGGTCTGCTTAAGGGTCCTCTTTGTCAACTCACACGCAAAACAACTCAAACTGGGGGACCAACTTATGGGTCCCTTTCACAACTTAGCCATAAACATTCGGCATGGTAAGCATTCGAGTCTTATAGGCTCGCAAGACCCCTTGGGGTCCTCACATATCTATCACCAAACAGCCGCGCAACCTCCCCTTATACTCAGTCATTTCACCTGCCCATGGGCAGACCGCACGAGTATACCAAAGAGTAGACGGCAATCACAATCTCACAATACACATACATGAGATGTATCTCACACATCTCTCATACAAAGCCCTCATTCATTGGGATAAAGCCACACGTGAGAGTGATCGTCACAAGAGTAAATCCCACAGAGGGTGGACTCAAAATATACTCGGTAGCAAAATATCTCCCTCAAGTCTCAATACAACACTCAACTCAAGTTCTCACACACACAATTCCTAGGATATACCTAGGAATAGGATGCCCGCCCCAGTGAACAACTCAACACTCAGTTCCCTGTACACTCTACAAGGTGGACTCACACCCCAAGTGTTATGACTCTCAGGATCCAATCAGAAATGTAACGGAGGTTTCCAAACCTCCAAACCTAATGCACAAATCACACAGTCACATGTATCTCGCAACTGAATCTCACCCGCCGAACTGTATCACACACAAACCTCAATGACCGACTGAGCCCTGCCACCTATGTATGTACAACTAGACAGGACTCCCACGGCGAACTCAGACGTGCACACCCCTTAGGACCCACTCAACCGACTCAGAGTACGTACATCCTTGACCCGACCTCTGGGTACAGAGGAACTCTAGTCCTACTATCGTATAGACAGGCCAGCCCCTACTCACTCATGGCCTCCTAGTTCTGCCTATACAATTGTGCCCTACCCCCATCTGGAGCCCGCTCTACCACTCGCCCCTGTCTGTCGTACATCCTCCCACCACTCTCTGTCACTCTCCCAGCCGCCTTGTCCTTAAGGAACTTCGGGCATTCAAGAGCCCTATGTACGCTGTCCTTGCAGAAGAAGCACTGATCGTCTGATCTCCCTCGACACCTCCTCTTCTTTTTTTGGGACCCAGGCAACGGCGGCGTCTCGCTAGTTTCCCTGCTCATCTCGTGGCTCTGGGGCATACTCCATGACTCTGTCGGCCCTGCCTCCATCACCTAGGTACTCGGCCCTGATAGCACCTCATCTCCCTCGGGTCGGTACGCTGGAGTGTCCAATCTCAGTGGCCTACCCTCGCGGACTCCTCCCATCGCAGTCGCCCCCTCGTCCCTATGCAGGTCAGAAGGCAGGGGAGTCACGGCAGTCGCTGACTCGCTCATAACTTCCTGCTGTTGCTCTGAGATGTGCTCTCCTGAGTCAGCTCCAGTAGCCCAAGAGCCTAACTGCGTCCTCAGCTCCCCTATCTCTGGCACGCGCTCCGGGGTGTCCAGCCTCTGAGGCCCTCCTGACGGCATGTCCAGCTCCATAGCTGCCACCAACTCGTCCAGTCGAGAAGCCTCTCCCCTCATTACCTCCTGCTCAGTGGATGCTGCTGCTCCCGTAAGGGCACCCTCCTGCACCTCCAAAAGGATCGTAGGGGACTCCTCTGTGGGGTCCCCCTCAGCCACTGGAGGTTGGGGTCTTTGCGCCGTCTCGCCCCCAGGAACCTCAATCGTCATAGCGGTGGCCTGTTGCGAGGCCAACTTCGTAGGAGTCCTGAAGTTGAACCTCCTCTCCTCGACCTCCCGCCTTGCTGCCGCCTCTGTTGGGTCTAGGAATACCTTTCTCATTCCCTCTTGCTGTGGCGTCTCTGTCGTTCCTCCCTAGCCAAAGAGCCCCTGTACCTCCTTCCCCTCGATACCATACCGGCTCTGCTCCGTCCAGTCGACCACCTTAGTGGCCGAGAGCCTCTCTACCATTGCCGCCATGTCCTGGAGCCTCTTCTCCCACTCCGCCTCCTTGGCTTCCATGCGGGACCTCCACACTTGGTTCTCTGCCCTCTCTTACACCAACTGGTTGGACAACTGTCCCACTTCTAACCTCGAGGCCGCCAACTCATCGCTGAGCATGGAGTACCGTTGGAAGGACAAGATTGCCACCTCACCTATCCTCCTGTCTGTACGCTCAATCTCCATTATGGCGGCTGAAAATCCCAAGTCCTCTGTCTCTCGTGCCTCGCCCACCCTCGCATTCTCCTGTCCTGCCTCTCGTAACCTCAAGCGAGCAGCATCCCTCTCACCCTCGTAGCTGGCCCAAGCCTCGCTAATCCTCTGCTCGCTCGCCGGAGGGTCAATTGGCGGCTTTGGCGCCTCTCCTGCGGCCTCCATCCTAACCTTTTCCTGGTATAGCTCCATACCTGCACCCTCGCGCGCTTCTTTTCTTTCGTCTCCCTCGGTGGCCTCCCCATCCTCGCCTCGTGACCCTCTCGCAGTGGATCTCTCTCACTCGTCCCCTCCTCTGCGGGTGGCGGCTCTGGCGGAGGCTCCCCGGATGTCGGCACCTCCGCGTCCATGCGTTCACCTGTAGGCTCAGTTAGTTGTGGCACCACAGTAGTAGGAGTCTCGCCCTCTCGCCCTCCTCTGGCCCCTCCCGTGTCGGAGGTGGCGTAGTGGCTTCCGATGGAGGCCCCAACATCTCCTCACTGTCCGACTCAGGAATTCCTTCAGGCCAATACTGCCGCGCCTGTTCTGGAATTCCCCAACAGTGATAATCCCCTCGGTCTGCGCCCCCCTGGGTCCATGAGGCCCCGCCTTGGCTCCTCCTCTGGCTCATCCTCTATTGGCTCATACCGTGCCGGTTCGCTCTGGTCCGTTCCCAGCTGTGACGCCCCCCACTGGGATGCATCGAGATGCGCCTCCCACCTGTCGAGCGGCGTCCTCAATGGCACCGCCTCTCCCCCCTCTGGTAACGTCGGTGACAGGCCTCGTAGATCACTGCCCGTGATTCGGCGAAACTCCAAGTCCATAGGTAGAGGGTAGCTCCGCCGCCTGAGCTGGCCCCGCGGCGTGAACTGGCTCCACTGCCTGGGCGGCCTCTGCTGGCCCCTCTCACTGTGCCAAGGCCTTTCGGCCCCCTCTGGTCGTAGTGGCCCCTCTCGCCTCTGGGCCCCATGGCCTCTTACTCCTCTGTCGTCTCTCCACCCTGGGCTCTGGTCTCTCGGGCTCCAATCGTCGGAATACCTGTCTCAACTGAGCCTGGCAGTCCTCCCAGTCGCGTGCCCTGTCCCGGATCTGCCCCGCCAACGGCCTCTCCGCCCTCCGCGTCCAGAGGGGCAACGTTTGCATCCACTCCTCCGGCCCAGCCCCCTGGTCGCGCATATACTGCTCGTAGGCAGGAATGAACTCCTCCGCATTGCCTTCCTCCAACCGAATAGGCAACCCATCTGGTCCCAGCGGCGAAGCCCTCACCGTCTGCATCCTCGCCTCCACATCCTGCCAGGTCAACGCCTCCTCTCGAATGCGCGCAATAGGCTCCTCGAAACGCCCAACTCCCCTCAGGTGCCGTAACCTCTCCAAGGTAGACCAGCCCTCCCGCGTCGCATGTGCCTGGTAGGAGTCCAAAAAAAGCTCTATGTTACCGTCGTCGAAGATAGGCGTGGACTCCTTCCCAACCGGTCTGTGCGAGTCAGCCCCTCCTGATGCTCCCTGAGGCCTCTGTCGTGGCCGTGCGCCCCTCCCGCCCCTCTGCATGGCTGTCTTCGAAAAGTCAGACCTGCACAACAGGCGAGAGAAAGCAAGCAGGCACACAACAAGGTTAGCCCTCGGTTCATCAAGTTTTTATGACAACACACATGCTTTTTCCTACTCCCTCACATGTCCTGACCATAACATGCAATACCTCAAGGACTGGTTTACTCTGATGAAGGTAGAATTCTTTACCTATTCCCTGGCCACGAACTTCTTCAGCCTGGTCCCTGATACCCAATCCTGCTATCCTGTCTCGTCCAGCTCCTCGATCTGATAGGCCCCAAATTCGCCGCATCGCAATATTGTATAGGGGACCAACCATCTCTTGTTAAGCTTCCTCGACCATTGTTTTTCCAAAGAGGAGTCATATAATAATACGACATCCCCTACTGCCAATGGCTCCTTCCTTACTCGCGCCATCTTATCCCACCTCATCTTATCTTCAATGCGACTCCTTTCTACCTGACCAGCGGCCTCTCGCAATCTTTCTTCGACCGCCCCCACTTGCCGTGCCCGAATATCGAGCAGTTCTTCGAAGGATAGGTTTACTTCCAGGTCTTGGCGCCTCCACGTCTTCATAAAGCTTTCTATGGGAAAGATGGCGTGCCTCCCATACCATAGCGTGACTGGCGCGTGCTTGGTAGTCCTCTTCTGTGCCTTAGCACTAGCATCTCTATCCCTCATCTCACATGATAGGAGCAACCCCAATTCCCGGTGGATCCCATCGTACTCCTTCGCCTGAAACGCCTCCTTGATTTCTCCTTCCTCGAATTCGTCGTCCTGACTCTCAGGAGCTAGAATCTCATTTTCCTCACGACTGAACGAACCCCTCCGGCCGAAATCTCCTTGCAGGAGCGTATTGGTGAGCAGGTACATCCCTCCCATTAGCTGCTCATGCTCCTCTACCTGAGTGGGGCCTTCCTCTACTGTCCTCACTTCCTCCACCAGACTGTGCGTACATGCCAACGCCAACTTCATCATCCAACCAACATCCTTACTTCCCCACGGATCCTCCTCCTGAAAGGGTTTGAGGACTAACTCTTCCTTTTGCTCGTACCCCTTTGGTGCCAGCCATATAGGGTGACTGACGCAACTGGGCACTCGCAGGGACCATTCGTTTATGTGCAGGCGGACGTCCTCCTCTTGATCCAAAAACCCATCACTAGCGGAGTGTCTTCTATCGATTCCTCATCCGATCCGTCCCAGTTGATGCGGCTTAACCCATCTGCCCTGTTCTTGTTCCCTGGGATCCTTTCCAGCTCGAAATTAAACATCCAAATGTAGGTCAACCATCTTGCGACGGTTGGGTCAGATGGAGTATAATTCTTCAGGGAACATGCCAGTGCAGTAGGGTCCACCCTCAAGATGAACGTCCTGCCAAAAACATAGTTCCAGAAGGTCCTTATGCAATGAAGTACCGCCAACGTCTCCTTCTTGAACTGAGAGAAGTTCCTCTCAGTTGTATTGAGGGTACGACTTTCGAATCTTAGCGGCCTCTCCTTCCCCTCAGTATCTGCCTGAATCAGGATTCCTCCCAAGGCAGTTGGCCCAACGTCCGTCTCAATGACGAATGGTCTTTCTTCCGTGGCCTCATAGTTTGGCACTCCCAATACCAAGCCTCCTTCCTTGAACTCTCCTTTCATCCTACCGACCGCCTCTTCCTGGTCTTCGCCCCAGACCCATTCTTGATCCTGGCGCACCAACTTCCTTAAATGCTCCGTCTTCGTGGCAAAGTCCTTCACGAAGCTCCTCCAAAATCCGCACGTCCCAAGGAAGCTCCTCACATTTGTTACCAAGCGGAAGGGCACCGGCCACTCAAGAATCTTGTTTGTTTTCTTTACATCAGACCTTCGCCCACTCTCATTACAGACAAAGCCTAAAATCGTGGCCTCCCTCATACAATGTTTCGACTTGGGGCCGCTCGCCGTCAGGTTATGTTCCTCTAATAACCCCAGAACCTGATCGATGTCTTGGACATGCTTCCAAACAAAACGCCGCACACAGGACATCACTTCATCTTCCTCCTTCTCCTTCGGACCTTTGACCGCCAGGTCATCGATATAGGGCTGAGTGATATGTGGGTTGACCGTCTGCATGGCTCTGATGATATGCCTTTGCACCATCGCCATTGCATTCGTCCAACCTTGAGGCGCCACGTTCATATGAATCAGCCCTCTGGGAGTGTGCATTGCCGTTACGGGCCTGTCTGGCAGGTATACGGGGAATTGATCATACCCCGAGTAGAGGTCTATAAGCGAGATTATAGGTCTCCCTGCGCACGATTCTGACAATGCGTCTGCGTTCGGCAATCCTGCCGCGTCCCGCACTGTCACCGCATCTAGCCGTTGCAAGTCCTGCACCCACCTTAGCGTCCCATTTGGTTTAATGAAACAAAACCAAGACGACGCATACGGCCCACTGGAATAATCGGCCACGTGCGTCCGCATCTTGCCGTCCAGGTAGTCCACCACCATCTTTTCCTCGTCCGGGTTGGGGTACCGCGCGCCCCTTAGATTCCATGGCTCATGTGGGACCGTGTGGATCCTGATCATCAGAATCTTGTCCACATCCAGCCTCCCACGCTCGTCGTCGTTGAATGCATACGCGCGGTGCCTTTTCTTCATTAGCCCCACCATCAGCACTCTCTCCTGGGGCGACAGGAAGTCGGGCTCCCCAATTATCAGCTTCCCCTAATTTTCGTCGTTGATACGGCACGGCCCGACCAACGCGTGCTCCCGCATACACCGTATCAACCCTCGCTCCCGCTCGTAGTAGGCTTCCTCATCCTCTGTGACGAGCACGGGAACTGGGCGACACTTCTTATCTATGGTCTTGTACCGCCTTTGGGAACCTTGCTTAAGCCCTCCCCTAAAAAAGGCTGACTTGTCGCTCGGGCCTGGGCCATCGCAGGGCCTCCCCTCCCTCCCGGGAGCTGATACACCAACTCCACCTCCCCCACCTGAGGGTTCTCCAAGACCTGTTCCCTCAATGCCTTAATGGCCTCCGGATCCGCCATGTCGTAAGCCGATACCACCTCCATGGCCTTATTCACATCCGTGAGGCTCAATGTCAGCACCTCAGCCCTATCCTCCTCCTCGGGCACTTCCCAAAGCCGTCTCCGCTCGTTCTCTGATTCCTCAAAGGTGAACGAGCCCAAATTGGGCCTATTCCTCCCGCTCCCCGGCCCCGTGTTCCGGCAGGTGATAACTTCATAATTCCCACACGCCGAGTCGCACAGGAGCAGGATCATTGTTCCGTCGTGCTTGTTGAAGATCAACATTTTCGTCTGGCACAGGAACGACCGCCCCAGAAGGATGGGGTGATCGACATCAGGCATAATGAACAAGCAAGTCCCGGCTCGCACCTTCCCAATCTCTATAATCACATTCGACGCTGTGCCACAAAAGGCGGCCTTGCAGTTAGCGCCGTGCAGCATGCCATGGTCCGAGCGGTCGATCTCCATGCCTATCATCACCGCCTCCTTCTCCCTGATGATGTTCATCTCTGCGCCCGTGTCCACCATCCCAGTACACTTCTGGTTCCTTATCACCAGATCCACCTGCCCGCATGCCACACATTTTCAATCCATCCTTGTCCCTGCCTCAGTCCACTCCACCTCTCTAGGCAGGACCGTACTCGGATGGACATTTGGCACCAGCCTTCGCGACAGTCGCCCTTTCAACTCACCACGGAGCCTTGGTGCCGACGTCAGGATGCCCTTTAGGTTCATCAAGTTATTGTGGCCTTCCAGGAGTTTGTCCACCATCCACTCCACATCAAAGCCTTCCTCCATCTGGGCCGCGTACTTCTTCCTCTTAGGCACGCTGTCGGGTAGGCTTGGCTCGGCCTCCTCCTGGGCCCCCCTCTTTTTGACCCTCAGCTCCGCCCGCTGATCCTCCTCTTGTCGGAGTCTCTCATCTTCTTCATCGTCATCCTCTTCCTCTTCCTCCGGAACCTCCACCACCTCCTTCCTACGTCTAGGCTCCGGCTCCTTTCGAGGGGGTGCCTGACTGGGCGCCTGACTGGGCTCTTGACTAGGCCCAGCCTTATTTTGGCTCCTAGTCCGAGCCGCCTGCGGCACCCTCCCATGCGACGTGGGGGGTCTATAGGTCATACCTGACCTAGGGCCCGTCTCTACAGTAGCCACTCTTCGGCACCCTTGTTGTCCTGGCGAAGGTTCTGGCCCGGAGTCATAAAGGAAGACCTCAGTCAGGTTGGCCTCCCACTCTCGGGCTTCTTCACACAGGGCTTGCAGCTTTCGCTGGTATCTCCCCACCTTTTCCAACAGATCTTCCATCCTTCCCAGGAGGAGTGTGGTCGTCTCTCCCTCGCCTCCCTGCCCCTCATCGTCCGACTCGACGACTATTGGCTCCTCTCTTATAGTACCCGCCTTTAGTCGTTGAGTGACCTCCTCGCTATCTCCCACAATCTCCTCAACTTTTATGGCCAACTCTTCTTTCTCCTGCCACATCCTGAACATGGTCGGGGTTGTCGATGGCCCTGCCGCCGCTCGCCTAAGAGCTTCTTGCCTGATTCCTCCCGGGGTCCTAGGGTCAATATGCTCTCCCCATTTATCGTATATATCCCCGTCCATACAAGAGGAAATTAGATCTGCCAACTCATCATCTCGTCGCCGTTGGCAGAACCGTATAGTGTGGCCCACCTCGCTACAATGCCAGCAGGTGGCGTTTCGCCAATCAAAGCGAGGCCTCCCATACCCCTGGCCCCCCTCTTGGCCACCTCGACCACTCTGGTTCTGACCCCCTTGACCATTCCAACCACCCCCGCGACCCCCACCATTTCCTCCTCGGCCTCGACCGCCACCTCCTCGACCCCCTTGACCTCGGCCTCCATTCCCTTGTCCGCCTTGTCCTTGGTTTCCTCCACCGACCACGCTAACCTGCGAGGCCTGTTGGGAGGGAGGTGGTTGGGCCACAAACTGACCCTGGGCCGTAGGGTAGTTTGGGGGCCCCATACTTGCCGCTGGGCCTGCATAAGGGACCATTTGTCTGGGCTGAGTTTGACTACCCCCGCACGAGGTGCAGTGCTTACAACTGGGCCAGGATGCAGGCTGACAATGCGGCACCCAGTGCCCACAAGCCGGCGGTGGCCCCATACATGACGGTCCGGACGTCGCTGACGTTGTCGTGGCGGCAGGTGGCGACGCAACAATCACTTGCGGGACCTGCCCTTTTCCAGATCCTTGACCTCCCACTTGTAAATTCCGCTGCTTCCTCTGGGCCTTGGTTAGGATCTGGGAGTCCGTTTCTTCTCCGCCATAGTCCTCGCGCCTAGCCTCCTCTTCCACTGCCCCCGACGCCCGGCCTTGGGTCACGGTCACTCCCCTCTTTTGCACTTCTGCCTCATTATCATACCCCAGCGTTGCCAATACATCCGTGACGACCCTCTTCACCCCTGGGGTCCCGGACGAGGTGGCGTCCCTTTCCTTTCTCTTGCGCCTTTGCAGCCGCACCTGGTGCTGCTCCACCTGGTCCAGGCTCCCGTCTTCCACCCCTTTGTCGATAGTGGCCCAGGTGAGCTTCTCACTTCCCCCTCCGTGACCCGTCAGCTCCGAGGCCTCCGAGCCAGTAAGCAGACCCCAAAATATGGCACACTGCGTTTCTTCGGAGATCCCGTGCACCTTCCGCGCCTTCCTTTTAAACTCGTGCACAAACACCCCAATCGTGGAGAAGTCGTCCTTGTTCATGGCCTCCAAATCCGCCATGGTTAGCAAGCCATCCCCCAACCTGTACTTTCTCTGCATCATGTCCCTGAACCTCGCCCAACTACCATTGGCGGTATCCATGACCTTGCCCACTTCCTGATGGTGGCTATGAAGGACATATCTTAGGACTCGCTGGAGCTTGACCTCGTCCGACAACCCTACCAGCGCTTGCTCCGTCAGGTCCAGCCAGTCGGACACCCGTTCTCCCTTGAAATGGAAAGTATCAACCTTCGGGACATTGCTCGACGCTCTCTCGCGCTTATCCAGGGCATCGATGAGGTCGTCGAGCGTTACAAGCTTTCTCCCACCGTCCGCCATCTCCTCAGGCATTTTGATTGACTGCCTTCGGCTTCAATCCCCCTGTTATAAAAAGCGATTGGACGAAAGGTTCCACTCAGCAGTCCATTCCTTCACGATCCTATCAGACCGACCATCTAAGCACCCGACGCTCTGGGCCTGACAGACATCTCTCTCTCTACTTCCTACCTCCCTCGGGTTCACCTAAGCAAGACCCATTCTCATCACAGAATTCACTCACATACTCACCTCGTTCATGCCATCAACTAAACCACCAGTCGGATCAACATTCACACCCACACAACCATATAGACTACTATACGATTCATCTCATAGTTCTTCTCTTATTTGCTCACGTGCCTAGTTCTCTCTCATTCTCATACCCGGATGTCGTTCCACTAGGGACAACGGTAGGCTTCCGTCATCCCCGGCAACGGCGTCACCTGTCGCGCGCATCGGTCCGGCACCGCACGTGGCGGCGCGGGACCCTCTCGGCCGCGTCACGCAAGAGTTGGACCAACCTCGTCACGAACAGGCAAATGGAGCTTCCTTAGGCCGCTCCGGCCGGGTGCGCCAACCATACCTCTCGCGAGCCCCTACGACAAGATAGAGTCTACGCGAGACACAACTTACCTCCACATTACGGGAACTGTCACCTCCCTTCGGTGGACGTATCCCCGCCGAGCTACCAGTCCACAATACGAAGGCTACTCGGTTGCAATCGCAGAGGTGGACCAGCCGAGGGCGTTTCTCGTTCGCTGTAGCATAGAGGGTACGCACGGTAATACGCCTATCGGACTCGCGTGCGAACCGACATCTTGGGGGGCTGAGGTCCGAAGCGCGACTCGTCGTCGGTCGACTAGGACGCATCCCACACACCACGCGCATACCACTTTACGAACAGAAAAATATAAAATACACACACACACGCATACGAAACGACACAACACAAACAACGCGACAACGCTCTTAGCCCCTCTGTAGCCAACCCATAACCTTCCGATGCGGAAATCGAATAGGCGTCGCGTGCGAGGCTTAGTATAAAACTCCGCGCGGATGCAGGGCTAGGTCATATCGACTCGCAATGCAAACGTACGCAAGCAGTCACAATAATGGCGTACTATGTAGTGCCCATAATCGTGCGGTCCTCGTTAATCTCGAGGGTCGCATTCGACACTCAAGTGTCGGCTGACACGCGCCTTGAGGGTTAATCTCTCGACGGCGGACAACCGCCATGCGCGGTTGAACACCACACCCTCTTCTGCACCATGTGCAGAGGGGTTGAGTAAACAGCTTTAAGCTGTCGTGGCGGTCAAACATCAAGGGGTTTGACTTTGACGGCTGCCACGGACTACAACGTCCAACCATAAAACTCTAAAAAGCAGACGAATGGGTCGAGGACCCCTTCTCGTTCCAGCCAGGGTCTTGATCCTTTAGGGGTACCCTCCCTCTCCTTGGGTGATGCCCACGGCCTACAGTGGCCTCAATGTTTGCGTCTGCGTGCGAGCCTCCCGATCCCATAACCTCTGGGCGTTGGGGCGGCGAAGCATCGCAAGCAGGATTTTTACATAAGGTTGAGTGGCTGCTGGTCAGTCTCATACCAACCAACGATGCCAGTCGTATGTAGTAATCGCGGCCCCGGCCTCGCGAACCCCCACAATAAATACACCCAAGCATACAAACATAGGGGAGATAGAGTTGCGACGATCACTGCTCACAGGCACCGTGGGACTCCTTACATCCATAAGTACATATATGAGATCGCAGGCACCCCAAATCCAAATCCGAGTCACAAGGTCTACCTGCAATCACATCGAAGGATCGAGCAGCAACCACGCACTACACGGAGTCAACCCCAACCAATCTCCACACTCATACCCCTTGCTTAAGCCATGCAAGCCCCAATCTCCCGCCCAATCACCCATAATAAAATACTCAGTACCTTTGTTAAATGGCCATTCAATAAAAGTCCGGGTGAAACCCTCAATAAAGTCACCAGGGCTAAAGCATTCTAGGTTGGGTGTGAAGAGTGAGTTGGAATTGAGTCGTAGACCGACGAATCGGCAACCGACCTGTTATAAGTGATAACAGAAAAACGACCCTTGTAGGGTCGAGTTGAATTTAGTCCAAGTCCTGAATCGAATGTCCAAGAAAGGCCTGTACCATAAGACAGGTCAATGCCCAAGCTAAATCATCAGCATATGGGGGATGATCCTCCATAGCACATTCTCATTCAAGTTACCTGTCATCTAAATCAAAGTCTATCCCTAAGCTAGTGCCCAAGCAAAGGTAGACTAACGGCAAGATCTCCCCTATTAAGGGTGGATCGCCAGAATCGTCATCTGTCAGAATATAATCTAACTCCTCTAAATCAAGAAAATTTCGGCAATGCTTCCCGTAGGAAAAGTGTCTTTTCAGAATTTATATCAGCCCGAGTATGAGAGCAGAAATAGTTTTTGACTTTCCAAAGTCCAATTTTGTCTAACTCCCAGAATTAGTAAAAAATTGGGCAGCACTCTCTTTAGAAAATGAGACTTTCCAGATTTTTACTAAGCCATATATGGGCTTTAGACAGGTTGAACTTTGAAAAGTCAAAAATTGGCTAACTCCCTAGATTTGTAGAAATTTCGGCAGCGCTTCTCGTAGAGAAAGTGGCTTACCAGAATTTATACAAAGCCAAGTATAACAAAGGATCATAAAAAATACGAGAATTAATCTAAGTAAAAAAAAAAGTCAACTCAAAAAATGCAGGAATTGAAACTAACTCCTATCGCTCTAGCACGTAGCGAGCCTCTAAAGCAACTACCTGTCAAACCGAAACTCAGACCAAGTAGTGGCCTCACTCAGTCACATGCAGGTCAAACCACAAAGGTAAGTACTCTCATTATCCCAAATCAACCTTTGCAAACAATAGTTCGTAATCTCTCGATGCTTTATTCCCTTGTACCCAACTTACATAGGGCATACAATAAAGTCGTCCAATCTTATGGAACCTGCCTGACTCAGCCATTGAGTATACACGAACAGGTTGCACGACTACTTCTCTCTTCCTTTTGGGCATACGACTAGGCCGTTCATCTTAGAACAAGGCTTAGTCGCCCAGAACTGTTTAATATCCAACTTATATATATATATCTGAGCTTGGTGTTCAACAACTGGGCATAAGACTGAACCGTTTATCTTAGAACAAGGATCAGCCTGCCCAGGGTTACCTTCAATTATACTCTTAGTTGTACTCTCTTCATTCCATGATAAACTATAGCCAGGCCGTCCAATCTTATGGAACCCATGCCTGGCTACAGTGGCTAGCCTGTTCATAAATAGGATAATATAAAATATAGCCAAAATTATAACTTTTGGGTTCCAGCATGTGCATGGCATTGGCCAGACCGTCCAATCTTATGGAACATATCTGGTCCTTTGCCAAGTTCGTTTCTCTCTGATCCAATGTGTATGTCACGAGTCAAAGGCCGTCCAATCTTATGGACATGCCCTGCCCTCAGCACTAATTATTCCCTCAGAATAAAAACAACAAGGGGCACCGTCCAATCTTATGGACTTGCTCATAACTCCCTAATAAAAAACAAAAGAAACAGAACAAACCCCAATCAAAACGATAACCAAACCTTCCAATCTTATGGTACAGGCTTGGCCCCTTAAAAGTCATCCACAGTCAAACCCTCACAATTCAAAGCAATCAGGTCGTCCAATCTTAGGGAACTGGTCAAACTCTCCATGCAATTCAAAAATAAAACACAGCGGTCAGGCCGTCCAATCGTATGGAACTGGTTTGACCCCATAGGACCCATTCAGGTTCAAGCAAAACCACCTTTCACCCACCCTTCCCCCAGATGCAACCCCTTGTGTTCACAATCTGCCTTCAGACAATCAACAAACTGAAACTGAGATTGCGCACACATTCCTTTACTTAATCTGAGTTGTATCCTGTCAGTCAAACCAAAGTCAAAGTATGGGTGCATGTAGTACACTCAGTCAAACATAAAAAGACGTACAAGTAGGGGTTATATCAGGGTATATAAGGGGAAGCAAACGGTTACCTTTCAGTTCCCTGCCTTCAGACCCTCGCCTAGGCTCCGACAGAGTTCCCGCAATCGGTGGGGCGGACCTCCCACAGAGGCCTTGGCTCGGATTACGGGTTGCAATCCCGCCTGCCGCCCTCCTCTCATAACCAACAGACTAGACTTAGAGTAAGAGGGGCAGAAGGAGATAGTTTTGAGACTCTCAGATTCAAGAGTGGTGCGCTCAGACTCGCGTAAGAGGGCCTGGATACCTTGAATCGCCAGAGGGCCCCGCAATGGTGGCCAAATAATGCTACCGCCTAGTCCAAGCCGAAGTCAAACTGTGAAGGTCAACCCTCTGCCACCTCTCAAGTCGCAGCACTAACCTCCCTTCTCAAGTCTAATTACTCTGAGTCATAACCTCTCTCTTTGGATCAATTGCTGTTACATAGCAACTTGAAACGCCGATAACTTTGCAGAACCTCAACGAATCCCACATGCACAACGCTTTGTATACAACTGCCGGGCGCCGCAACTGTATGTGATGCAAGCTTCACCACGCTGCCGTGCTGCTCAGCAATTCATTAGCCTTTAGCGTGTCTGAATGTTGGTTATAGCAGCAAGTTTGGAACAGCCTGCAGCAGCTAACGGTAATCAGCAGCAGCTCAGCGAACAAGAGTTCAACAAACAGCGGCTTGATGAGCAACAACAGTCTCCCTCCTTTCACACAATGGCAACAACTGAGAGCATGAAGATGCCGACTTCGCGGATCATCAAAGAAACCAGGTACGTACTGCCTCTCTCGTTCAATCTCTCTCCCTCTCTACCTATAACTTACTAGCCTGTGCATACGCTGAGAACAGACGTCTCCCCTCTTAACAAGAAAGCGTGCACCGTGGTCACCCACGGGTAGGACGGGCAAAAGCCAAGCTGGCCTTCCAATCACAACACAGTTCGCCTCACTGCAGCTTCCTGAGTCTGCCTGTCCCGTAGCCCGGAGACGCCGTGGCCTGCTTTCGGCTCACCCCGCACAGCTACCCTCCAAACGAGGGCGACCCCGTTGTCGAATCCAACCTGATACACATAGGTAGGTA